TTGATACATTATTATTAGCTAATGTCCATAGTTTACATGAAGATTCATTCTTTGTGCTGTACACTTCTATGGGTTTTGACAAATGCATAATGTTCTATATCCACTACTACAGTATCATACAGAATAACTTTACTGCCCCCAAATTGCCCTGATCTCCATCTATTCCTCCCCTCCCTTCCCCTCCCCTTTGGTTTTTAAGAATCAGTAAAAATGTTCTCTCTTCTGTGAAATGTTTCTGTTCCCCCAATTATAATGACTTTTTGATGCTTGCATAGCATTCTTTTATAAGTTAAAAAAATATTTTTATTAACTTTAGAGAAAGGGAGAGGCAGATAGAAACATCAATGATGAGAATCATTGATCAGCTGCCTCCTGCACAACCCCTGCTGGGGATTGAGCCCGAAGCCCAGACATTGAATTGAACTGTGACCTCCTGGTTCACAGGTCCTTCAACCACTGAGCCACACTGGCTGGGTGCACAGCATTCTGTATACCTGTTACACACCTTGTGCTCTGTATGTGTTAGGGGCATACACACACTTTTCTTCACTTGTCCTTGTGGGAGAGGCCAAGCCATAGAATTGTCGGGACAACACCTAGCCTAGACCTAGTTCTTAATAGATTCTAGAATACCGGCTGAACTGAACTGAATGGTGAGCAAATATTAGGATGGGATTATGCAGGCTAGGTCCCAAGTGAAAGGTGTACTTGTGAGGTCTGTGCATGCTTCAGGACTCAGGGGTCGGTGGATGGGAAAATCCTTTGACAGGAAATGGGCTTACAAGCTGCGTTGGGTGAGATGGCCCAGGCCAGCTTTATATTACTACTAGGCCACAGGGCTCCTCCCCACTTCTCCTCCTCTCCTCTCCTCTCCTCTCCTCTCCTCTCCTCTCCTCTCCTCTCCTCTCCTCTCCTCTCCTCTCTCCCCTCTCCTCTCCCCTCTCCCCTCTCCCCTCTCCCCTCCCCCCTCCCCTCTCCCCCCTCACCCCTCCCCTCTCCTCTCCTCTCCTCTCCTCTCCTCTCCCCTCTCCTCTCCCCTCCCCTCCCCTCCCCTCCCCTCCCCTCCCCTCCCCTCCTCTCCAAAACAAAACAAAACAAAACAAAACAAACAAAACAAAACAAAACAACAAAGGACAAGGAGCCTGGTTATTTCCATCCTTCCCATCCAGGCCCCTGGAGAGTCTTTTGTTTGGTCCTCACTCTGTCTTCCCAGGTGGCCCCCAACTATTGAGGATGCCCAGTGAGCCTCCCTTGGTCAGGACGAACCTTCCCTTATTTTTTTATTTTCTTATTTCACGCCTAGCCTTTTGCTTTAAAGACACTGTTCTTAAACGCTCTAAAACGCAGCAGGAACATGCAGATCTGAACAAAAGCAAATAAATTGAATCTTGTGAAGTAGCAAAGCAGACACCCTTCTCCAACAGCCGGCACAACACGAAATGAGAAATATCAGTCACCCACTAGACACAGTATTTCCCCTCTAGACTGGAGCTGCTGTTGGCACCCCCCTCCCATGAGACAGCGAAGGGCCCATAAAACAAATCACTCCCCTCGGCTCCCACGCCGGAGTCAGCAGTTTTAGCAGCACCGCTATTCCTTTAAGCAACACAAGCTTTTACTTCGCTGTACCTGCCTCCAAACGCAAATGGGGAGGAGGTGGGTGTAGAGAAAGGGGGAGAAGGAATAGGGGAAGAGAGATGTTTCCCGGTGGAAGCGTCTAGAGCCCACAGTGGCGCCAGAACCTGCGCGGGCGAGGGCTGGAGGCGGGTAGCTCTGGAAACCCGGTTAGATCGGAAGGTGCTGTTCCCTGGGGCAGTGAGTGCTCTCCCGAGAGCCCGGCTCTCCCATTCCTCCCCCCGCCCCCGCCACCAGAAAGAGTCGGAGGACAGGGGGGCGCCTGCCTGGCTCGGGAGCCCTAGGGGAGCTAGCCAGCCCTCAACACCTGAGCGTCGACGCCCGCGTGCACCTGTGCTTCCAGGGGCGGGGCCCCCGTCAGGTGTGCGGAGGGAGGCCGCCGGCGGAGAGCGGAGGCCGGCGGCAGGAGCCCTAGCGGTCCTTTCCCCGCCCCAAGAAATGCCGGGGGAGGCGCGGTTAATCCGCACACAGCGTCTGCGGGATCCGCAGGCCCCGCCCGCCTCTTTGTGGGGAAGAGGGGGGGATGGGGGCGAACACTCTGCGGCGTGGAGGGGGTTAAGCGGGCGGCCCGAGGCTGGAGCGCGCTTAACCCTTGGACACCCGTGGGTCCGCGGAGCCAGGCCCGGGCGGCAGCACCCGAGTTCCACGCGGCGGCCACCCCGAGCGCGCGGGCCGTGCCGGGAGAGCCCGGGGCCGGGCGGCCGGCCGCTGGGGCGCAGCGTGGCCCGTGGGAGGCTCGGGGCGGGAGGGGGGAGGAAGGGGGACGGCGGCGGCGGGCGCGCAGCGTCGCCAGGGCGAACCGGCGTGCGGCGCGGCGCGGCAGGCGCGGAGCGAGTGAGCGAGCGAGCGAGCGAGCGAGCGCCTCCGTCCCCGGATGTGAGCTCGGGCTGCCCGCGGTCCCGAGCCAACGGCGGCGCGGGCGGCGGCGGCGGGCACCGGGCACCGGGCACCGCGGCGGGCGGCGGGCATGGGGGGCGCGCGGAGCGGCCCCGGCAGCCGGGCCAGCACCGCCGAGGCGTTCCTCCGCTAGAGGAGGGGACCAAGCCAATTCTCCTTTGCAGCAAAAAATTACATGTATATATTATTAAGATAATATATACATCGGGTCTTATTTTTTTTTAAAAGTTTATTTTGCTCCATTTTTGAAAAAGAGGGAGCGTGGGTGGCGAGCGGTTTTTAGCAATTATTCCTATTTTCTGTTATCTGTCCCCGTCCCTCCCCACCCCCTGCTGAAGCGAGAATAAGGGCAGGGACCTGGGCTTCTACCTACCGGTAACCCCTCACCCGCTCCACCCCCGCCCCTACGCCCAGCACAGTGCCCTGCGCTCAGTAGGCGCTCAATAAATGTTCGTGGATGATGATGATGATGATGATGAAAAAAATGCAGCATCAACGGCAGCAGCAAGCGGACCACGCGAACGGTGAGCAGCCAGCGCCTGGCACCCGCTGCCAAACCTAATCCTTGTCATGGTCCTCCTCTCCCACCCTCCTCGCTCTCACCCCGCCCGTCTCTGCCGCGCTGGGTGGGTTGATGGGGTGGGAGAGGATGTTTCTGGCTCGGTGTCATCTGCAGAGAGGGGATGTGCGTGACAGCCACCCGTTCTCGCCTTCAGGCCTCGGATGGCACAGTTAATTCTGCATGTGTGGGGTGGGGGCGGCCGGGGGGCGGCGGAGCGCTGTGCAGCAGCGGGGACTTCGCGCCGAGGTGATTTGGGTTCGCGTCCTCGGGCTCAACTTTCCTCCTAAGCTCCCGAGCGATGGAAGGGGGGTGGCTGTTAGTCTGCAGCCGGAGCCCTCTGTCCAGCCTCGTCTCGCCTTCACCTCGTTCCCAGCCCCTTTTAGACTGGGAACGAGGTCTCCCGTGGCATCCTCAAAATTCTAGGATTGCTGGGTTTCACCCTTCGCGCCGTTGGCTGAAGCACAACCCTCCCCCAGAGGGAGGCCAAGTCCCCCGAATCGCCGGCCGGGGTCCGTGGAGCTAGTGTTCCCGCTCCCAGTGCCGCCGTGCACACGGCGGTAACCTAGCAATGCCCGGAGAGTCGCTGTCGCCGTGGGGCTCCCCTCCCGGCTCCGGCCCGGCACCACGTGCAGCTACCAAGCCGCCGGCTGTGCTGGGTCGAGGGAGGCTGAAGCAGCTGCTGGCCAGCCCTCCTCCTTCCTCCTAGGAGGTCGCGGGTGCCCTCCACAGCCCCTGTGGGCTTGCAGCCTTCCCAGGTGAGCGCTCCCCAAGGAAAGGCTGGGCGCCACACCTTTCCAGGCCCGGACTGTCTTCTGCCCACCCTGGTGGGGGGCCCCCTTCCTGGGGTGCTGGGCAGGCAGACCTGTGCTAGCTTTGACTCTCCCTTGTTCTGTGCTCAGCAGGAATGGGTTTTGCAAACGCCCGTCGCCCGTCCCTCGTCCACTTCCACCACTCTCACTTTGACTTCTGTCTCAGTAAGAAGGCTGTGACCCTTTTTATGCAGGTGCGGGGAGGCCAGCTTAGGAAGTGGCCTGACCCAAAGCCAGAGGGGGCGTTGCACGTCCATCCCCCTGGGTTTCTGCCCTTGTGCACGGGGATGCCAGCTACACCGAGATGATTCCTGCTAGGCCTTGAGGCCCCCTGGCATAATCCAGCCCGGCTATCCAAGGCGCAGGGGTGCAGGCTGCCTGCCTTGTCTGTTTCTCTGGATGCTGGCTTGGCTGCTGCGGCTGCAATTTAAAATGCAAAAAAGCCCTAAAGATGTTTGCTGTTTTCGGAAGCCCGTGGAGGAAATGAGTCCCAACCATCATGAATTTTCATTTGCAGGAAGTGTCAGTGCATAATCTAGATATTTGTTACGGGGCTCTGGGTATGGCCCTGGTGCCAGCCGAGGACTTCTTTTTCCATGCTGAAAAATGAATTGGTGGCTGCGGAAAGATGTTGGAGTAACACCCCGAGAATGATTAAGACTATTGAATTATTGGCATGGCCTTTTCTTGGTGTGTGTGATGGTGGTAGTTATTCTAGAGAAAAGCTATTGTACGTATCTGTTAACTCATTAGAGACACATGGGTTTTAAACAAGAAAAGATAGATGTGGAATAAATGTGGGAATGACCTCAGCTTGTCTGGAGCAATGCACTGGAAGGTGCCTTGTGACTTCATAGAGGTGGAGAGGTGCGCGCCCCTGGGCGTCCTGCTGCACGATCCGGTCCGGTGTGACTGACACTCAGGACCGAGTGCTCTGGCCGACCAGATCCCTGTCACTGGAAAACAGGACATGGGGTTCAAAATGGAAACATGGGAATGCTTCCCCCTTGTTACTGATGGGAGGCAATCTTTGCTTTCTTTTGACACTGGGTTCTCATTTATTTATTTTTTTTAAATATATTTTTCTTTCTTTCCAGAGGCAAACTATGCAAGAAGCACCAGGTTCTCTCTCTCTGGTGAAGGACCAACTTCTCAGCCGAACAGCTCCAAGCAAACCGTCCTGTCTTGGCAGGCTGCAATCGATGCTGCTCGACAGGCCAAGGCTGCCCAAACTATGAGCACCTCCGCACCCCCACCTGTAGGATCTCTTTCCCAAAGAAAACGTCAGCAATACGCCAAGAGCAAAAAACAGGGTAACTCGTCTAACAGCCGACCTGCCCGCGCCCTCTTCTGTTTATCACTCAATAACCCCATCCGAAGAGCCTGCATTAGTATAGTGGAATGGAAGTATCCTTTTTTTGGGGGGGAAAGTCTTTCTCATTTTCTTTTACCATCTGTTCTTTAAAAGGATTTGTGTTCTGCAATGGCACTTACAAAGTGGTTGCAGTCTGGAATGTGTGCAACAGAAGCTGTGTGTAAAGCGTTTCATTGTACATACCTTCCTATCTCCTCCAGGGGCAGAGGGGTGGCTCTGAGGGTATATTTAACCTACTGTGTGTGTGTGTGTGTGTGTGTGTGTGTGTATGTGTGTGTGTGTGTAGTGGTGGTAGTTGGGGTAGGGAGTGACATCCCAAAACTTCCAAGTGGTAGATAATTACAATGTGGAACTAACTTTTGGTCGTTTGGCATTAGATGGCTAGTTTAAAGCCACTGTTGTTTTGGGGCAGTGGTATGCATTGAACCTATTGCCACTAAGGTCTGCTGATGAACAAAAACGAAGATGGTTTGAGACTCTACTAGAAGTACATACATTTTTCACCTTTAGTGGGATCTTCTCGTTTTGATGTTTGGGATTTGCTTTTCTGAAATTCCAGTGAATGCTGAGGTTGCTTCCAGCTCTGACATTTGGCGATTCTAATTGTTCAGGTAACTACAGATACGGGCACTTGCTTCAGAGGGAGGGAGCATTTTGCTCATCAATGCTATGACTTTCGGGAATTTCCTTTTGACAGGTTCCAAAAAGGCTTTTGGAACGTGAGCTTGAGGGAGCATGTGAAGGGAGCCGTTTGTGGCTGCCTCTTTTCCCCAGGCCCTAGGAGTTACTTGAACAGCCCTCTCAGTGGAGGGATTTGCAGTGTCTGCTTTTATAAGAAATTCTGTCTATGTCCTTGGATTGGAGTTACATGTCTGGGTGTCCCCTTTGCATTTTTAAAACTGAACTCCACGTGCCCCAGCATGGTGGTTATGTCCCAGGACTTGGAAAACTAGGGTGCTGGCCTGCTCATCCCCTTCCCCAGATCCGGCAGCCAGGCTCCAGTTACCACCGTCTCCCTTCAGAAAAGGTTGACTGAGGCCTTCTTTCTATGCAAATGGCTTCTAATTAGCCAGTCCATTCATTGGTCTGGGTAAAACGAAGCATCTCCTTTCCCCAGAAGTATATTTGGGGCTGACAAGGGGCCTTAGAGCAGTTTCTAGCTATAGGAAGGAGTGTGAATCTAGGGCTCCTCCCACACCCACATCTTGTAGGTGGGGCCACACTGAAAGGGGAGGATGTTGGAAAGGGCTAGAAGGTAGAGCAGAAACCCTCTGATAGTTTGAGTACCTCGCCAGGCAGCTGTTTACATTCCCTCTGTCTTAACTGGCTACCTCTGTGCTCACGCACACGGAGTTAAAGTGAGGTAATTCTCTAGAAAGGTTTTGGAGAGAGCAGCCAAATGCAAGGATAGGATTTGAGGGGTTTTCACGTTCTTTTCCTTTTTAGAACAGATGTCTCTTCTCTAGAGGGAGTTATGGTGTCTCTCACATGGCTGGGGTGGTGTGGATGTGTTCTCTCTTTAAATTCTTTTCTAGTCTGAGCATGAGCACCAGTGCCGGCCCAGAGGGAGCCAGGTAAAGAGGGTGTGCCGGTGGCATCCCTGGGGTCAGAGGCAGTGGTTGCGTTTTGCCAGAAAGATCTCCTCCTCCTTAGGCTGGCTAGCGGGGACTCTGAGTCAGCAGAGGCCCCTCGGTGGAGTCATTCGTTCCCTGTGCAGTGAGGTGGGAGGCCTGGTGCTGTTCCTCTTTGTGCACAGTGATTTGTATGTAGCAATTTATGTGCCTGGAGTGACTTCCTGGGTCATGCTGCTGACTCCCTTGTCTGTGTCTCCAGACATGCGTGTACAGGAATTAAGGGACGTGGCTGCCAGTGCAGGGAGGAGCCTGCCCACAAACAGGACAGTTGGTAGAATAGATCCTTGAATGATATATATGATATCGTTTGTTTGTTTTCAAAGGAAAGTGTCCTTCTAGTGCAGGGAGCAGGTTCTAGAAATCCTCCGAAAGCCAGCTGTGCCAGGCCCAGCCAGCTTGGGGAGAGAGCGAACCTAGTGTGTGTGTGCACACAGGCAAGGCAGAGGGAGTCCTGTACCTTGGGGGGTGCGAGGAGTGTCGCCTTATCAGAAGAGATTTTTAGGATCCGACCCATCCGTTCCTCTATTGCTCTGTTCTCCTTGGCCGGGGGATCGTGGCCACCAGTACCTGGAGACTGCGACTGGACCACCATACAGAACAAGATACTTCTGTTTGGCCTTCCTGAACAGCTTCCGTATTTCTCGGATTTGCTGGTCTATCATTTAGGTATTGGGAAATGAAAAAGAAAGCGTGGTGGTGTGGAGGAGGGGAGAGACAGTGTGTTTCCATATAGAATAACGCTGGGGCAGTTGGCTTTTTACATTTCAGTAGGAACTTCTAAAAATAAAAATAAAAAGGAGAGTCTGACGTCTTAATTTGGATTTCCTTAAAGTTGGACCTCTAGATAAGAGATCTCATAGGACTAGATGGGTTAAGAGAATAAACATGAATGAAAACTAATTGGATTTAAAAATAAACCCATCAACATCGAGGGAATAACATCGTTCACGTCCTTACTTCAGTGAGTGTTGATGCTCTTCAAGGGCTGAGGTTTCATGAAACCCAAGGTATCCCTTGGAGGGGAGGGGGTTTCATTTCCTGCAGCAGTTTTGGGTTTCCCGGAAGGGTATCAGAGTGGATGGAGGAGGATCTGTTCACGTTCTCAGTACTCTGAGGTGCTTAGTTAAAGCCGTGGCCTTGCCTGGTGGGTTAGCATATGGGAGAAACACTTGGAAAACCAAGCCCCAAACTTGCAGGTTAGGTTGGTGCTCATGAAACCTTACATTTGGAAAGGCTGAAAGCCAAAGGGAGAAAAACAGTCTTTTTGGCAGATGTCAACTTCGGTGTTGCCGGTTTTGACAGTGTCTCTTAGTAACACCAGAATGTTTAAGCAAGTATCTCTTGAATCGCTGACCTCACTGATTCTCCCAGACAGAGCGACCCCTGAGATTTAGAATTGTTACATTTTACTTTGAAAGTGTCTGGTGCTAAAAAAAAAAAAAAAATGTGTCTGGTGCTGATTTCTTACGGCTTCTAATTTAATGTGTGATAAAGTACATGCAGTAACAGCACATCGTAAACGGAGCTCCAGTCCAGCTCTAATTTGAAGCAAACCATGGATTAGCAGAGAAGCCTAGTTTGCGTGTTACAGTGTCTGAGGAATTGGGACAAGCCAGGAGATAGTCACAGGTAGAATGGAGAAGGTCCTGGTGACGAGGCCGGCCCGGTCCAGGCAGGAGATTCAGACTGAGCCAGCCAATATCCCCGAGAAAATGGCTCTAGCACCTGGAGGCAAGGATTCGTGGGAGAGATTTGTCTCGTGATGACTTCTCTTTGGGCCTGGAAAGAAACAAACAGCCAGAAATTTAGCTCTCTAAGGCCCTTGTTGGTTTTAAAACTATAAGAAGCGGAAACCTGGTTCGCACAGTGCCCTCATTGGATGTACTTTTAGGTTTTAATATAAAATGCTCAGCAGAAGCATGACTGTAACATGATCTTTGTAACAGAAGAAGGGGACACGGAGAGGTCATTTGATAGCAACATCTACAGTGAGATGACCCCCAAGATTATGTTTCACAACAGTTTGTATATGTAACTTTCATTTTAAAAGTGATTCAAAAGTGGTGTGATTGGGAGTGCGATGAGAGAGATGGTTTGTGTTTGTATAACATACGCACACGTGTGTGTGTGTGTGTGTGTGTGTGTCTCCATATATGTATATACCTTAACAAACATTTTCAGACCATTTGACATATTTATATTATTGGCTATTTTTGCCAATTGTGTGGCCTTAGCTATTTACATCCCATTCCCTGAAGATGATTCAAATTCAACAAATCATAACTTGGTAAGTGTCCTCAGAGTTCCTACTTGTCCTGATGTGTGGTTATCATTTGCCTGTATACTGTCTGGCAGCTGGCTTTCTGGGTGGTGGGAGTTCACCGTTACGCATGTGTTGTTTCCCGGAGCTTTACAGCAGTGGTTGTTTATTTTTAAAATGTGCATTTTCAAATTTATACTGAATGAAAGTGTTTAAAGCCATGGATCTTGTATAAATAGATGTAGACCTTTTTTTTCTTTTCTTTTTCTTTTTTTCTAAATGTAGACCTTTTTATGGAAGAGGTTTTAGCAGATTTAAAAATGACTTTTCTCTCCACATAGGCTTTTGTTGTCTACATTCCTTTCCTGATAATATTAGATTTTTTAAAAAAATCCAGTGTTGTTTGGGATGGTGGGTACTTTGGTCAATTTTTCTGGTAAGTAGAGAATTACCATAGATGTTGTGTGTAAACTATTAGTTTTTAGAGAAGTAGAGTGCAGCAAAGCCAGTAAACTACGTGGTGCATCACTCAGAGAAGCACAGTGTAGAATTGAAGTTCTTACTCCCAGTCCTATGAGATGCCCCAAAGATAAAATGATTCCATGGTTAAATAAATTGGGATTCTTCCACATAGTCTATTGCCCTCCTCAAGATTTATAGAGCACATCAGCTCAAGTAAAAGCTCCGGGAAAGTTTGGAGTTAAAAAACCAGTTTCATTTTGTTTAACTCAGCTAGTCCTTAAAAGTAATTGGTCATGGATTCTTTAAACATTGTTTTGGCAGGACACATCACAGAACCAGTGTTTCGTGGAGCTTCCTTCGGGAAAGGTTGATATAGTTAAAAACTAAATGTAAAAAGGCACTGAAGAGCGCTAGTGTGGGACTAGGAGCTTGTCTCACTTGACTGTCAGCTGGCTATATTTGGGGGCATTTCCCATGCCCTTTCTGCATTGCCTTTCACCCACCTGCCAATTAAGGGGGTTGGATGAGAAGGTCACTAGGGTTGTTTTTACCTCTGAAATTCTGTCATCTTTCCTTGATGATTCAGAAGCCATTTCAGGATTCTTTCTGGAGCCGCAGCATCCTTGCCAGATCAGTCCGTTATAATTGGAGGCCGGGCAGGAAGGCAGATGGAGGAGGGGGCTAGTGCCTCGAACAGGAAACGCTCTCCATTGTTTTGCTTTCTGAAACTTCTTTGAGCTGCTTCCATTTGTTTTGGTTTCTCGTGGCGAAGCTGTGTTTCAGTAGGGCTGGATGATCTTGACTGGGGGTTGTAAAAGCAGATTTGGTGTGGGCAGTGCTCTGCTGAGTTCTGAAGATTCTGAAATTGTGCCCTTGTGATAGTAGCCCTCACGGTTTATGTACCAGATTTCATGGCACATGTAAGTTATGTGGCACAGTTCAGATGTAGCATGATGTCTATTCATCTTTGGGGTTTTCTGGTCAGATTTCTAGATCATTAAAAGTATGTGGATATTGCTACTGAAAATTCACTTGTAAACGGGAGTTAGATATTCATACACACAATTACTGTTAGTACATATTTATACTGGGCTGAAGATGATTTGTGTAACTTTGCATATTTAAAATAGCTTCTGCTTTCGCGGCAGATAGCGACATTAGATGATCACTTCACAGGGAAAGCAGAAGTCCCGAAAAGCCCCCATCAGTGGGGGTAGGTCATCAGCGTGTAGGCCACAGATGGTGTCAGCCTTGTTACCAAATTTAACAACGTGGATGCTGACCCAGTTTGTTGTTCTTTTTTTTTCTTTGTAGCTCAAGAGAACATGATTAAACAAACTTAGAAAATAAACACCTTTCAGAAAGGCAGGTTAATTCAAGTCAAAGGAAAAATTAATGAAGCTCAGCATGTATAGCCAATTAATATTCTGATTCTTCCCAGGGAAATTTGGGGCACTAATAATATATGTACTGTCAAACCATTTGGGTTTCTTAGCTAATAAGGGATGGAGTGAAATATAGGCGATGGGTAAATCTCTCTTCTTCTCCCTGGCAGCCTCTCTCCAGTTTATCCTTCTTTCACAATTCTTAAACACTGGTCTTTCTTTCGGGGGGGATGGGGCAGTGTGTTCTTTTGGCAGGCCTTTCTAAAAAGCAACATCTATTTCTTTGACCTCTCGGGATTCTGAAACTCATAGCATTCCCGAGTTTGTCTTGTGTTCACTAGGATGGTCACGTGGTCAGATGAGTTTATTCTCTGTCTGACTCTTTAAATATTTCCTTTCCCACTGTGGGAAGGGAAGAGCGTTGTGGATTTCCCCTGACTCTCAGCGAGGTCTCATGCCATGTCGGCCCTCCCGCCAGGGAGCCGGGTTTTTTTTTTATACATTTGACCCAATTTGTACCAAAGTGATTGCTCTATTTTTGGGATGGGTTTAGAGGCAGCTGCACGAAGCTTGTTTTTCATCTGTAGTAAATACCTTTCAGTGAATGTGAATGGCACAGCAAAGGTCAGAGACCGGGACAGGTTGCCAAGCTTTACCTTTCTCGGGAGCGCACGGCTCTCTTTGCTTCATAGCTCTGTGGGAAATGTGTGTGTCGAGCACGTAGAGTGCGATCCAGGGCCGGCTGTGCGGAAGGTGTCCCTGCCTGTTACAGGTTGTTTGTAGTGATGTGATTCCTTGGTTGGGTGAGAAACCTGGCCATCCCTCTGGGTACAGTGTGTGTTCGGTGTGGGTTGTGCCTAACGCAGCCAGCTGTGGGGATCTAGAAACTACCTTGGGGGCAGCAAGTTTTCCCAGGGTTAGATTTTTTTAAAAAAGTATAAACAATCTCAAGTTTCAATGCAGCGTACATTTGTGGACTTGCGGGGAACTAGCGAGGCTGAAGCCATGGAAACGGTGCAGCTCAGTTCCCACAGTAACGTCCCTCTTGGCTCCGTGAGTGGCAGTGTTTCCTCAGTTCCACTTATTGAAAACGTATATCACTTACTTAATTTTCTTCTTAGCATGGGGTGTGGGGGAGCTCTTCTGTATGGAGTGTTAGAGCGGGGATGATTACAATATTGTACCTCACTGTGTTGAAAAATGCTTTATTTTGCTTCCCAAACTCGAGTTTCTCCTCAGCAAACGGACGTGGTTGAACAGTGTTCCGTCTGTGCAGCCTGTTCCTGGTACCCCCGCCTCGCCCAGCCCACCTCCCGTTTCTCTGTAGTGCTGAACGGCCTCACATTATAACTGTCTAACGTAGGGATGTTCGCCCTAGCCGGTTTGGCTCAGTGGATAGAGCATCAGCCCGCAGACTGAAGGGTCCCAGGTTCAAGTCCGGTCGAGGGCATGGTGTGTGCAGGAGGCAACCAATTGATGTGCCTCTCTCACATGGATGTTTGTCTCTGTCTCTCCCTCTCTCTTCCACTCTCTCTAAAAACCAGTGCAAAAATATCCTCTGGTGAGGAATAACAACAACAACAAAAAAAGCGGGGATGCGCCTCTGCCAGGTCACACCTGCCCTGAGGTCTGCTGATGCCTGCACCCACGGAGGGCAAGGCCCATGCACTTTATCAGGCAAAGTGCTTGGCTCTTACCAGCTGCTCAGCGGAGTCTGGGTGACTCAACAAGGAAGTCTGAGAAGCTCCCCTAAGTCTTTGGCCCCCTTTTCTGCCCCTTTTCTCATCTTGTTGAGGCCAGTTTGTGTTTAGCCTGTTGACATTTTGCCTCTACAGCATCCTCCACGTCTTCCCCTTCCTCTCCATCCCACCGCAGCTGCATGCCTTTTGCTGGATAAGTGATCCTGAGGCTTCAGTGGCTACCCACCGCCCTCTGGGGAAAGGCCAGGCCCCACGGCCGGGTCCTCCGTGGTCTGTCCAACCTTTTTGGTTTATCATACATTCCTCTCCTTCACAGTCCTTCCCATCTGTCCACCCTAAGTTCCACCTAAACACCCTCCTCTCCACTTGTCCACATCCTGGTGTTTCCTCCACTGCTTTCTGCATCTGAAATGCCTCATTAGCTCTGCTAGTCTTTCTGTATGTGTCCCTGTTCCTATAGCTGCTCAGGAATAAAACCACATTGTGTCTCTCCCATGAAGTCTTTTCAGACCCTGGTCTGAAGGGACATTCTTATCTGAACCTCCCTCATGGCACTTTACAGATAAAATATCCTATAGTTTAGTTATTCATCTGCATATTTTATCATTACCTGCAGAAAACAATTCGCAGTGAACCATTTCCAGTCCCCAGCAGCGCCTGGCCGGTGGTGAGGAATAGATGCTCAGTAATGTGTGTTGTTGACGCCCCGAGTGTGTGCTCTCAGGAGGGGCACCTCCCTGTTCTTTCCTCAGAGCTGTGCTCAGGATTTTCCTGGCTGACAGGGCCCTTTGTGGACTCCTTGGAGGTCCTTGGCTGGGGGTGGGTGGGACGTTATAAGCATTTATTCCTGAAAAGCTTAGGGTGTTGTGACCCTCATGTGTGCCTCTGGCTGGAGGAGCCCTCCGACTGCCTGGTGTCAGGCCTGAGCAGTCAGTCCAGCACAGCCTGTGCTCAGAGGACCAGAGCTCGGGCGGGGCCTCTCGGGGAAGCAGCGCTGGCTGGGGACAGTGTCAGCGGGACCGGAAGTGCACAAGGGCCAGGAACACAGTGGGATCGTCTCCTTTGATTGCATTCTCTTCTCCGTGGCTGAGATGCCAGTGTATAGTGTTTCCTGGGCTTAAAAGTGAGTTCCTTGGATCTGCACATAGTTCAGCATGTTTGTTTTTGCAGAGGGAGTGGTGTGAATTTTAACTCACCTGGTTCGTTGGGCTTAGCCTATAAGGTGGGTGTCTGCACCTCACCTGCACTGTGCCTTTGCTCGACTGTCTTTGGATGGTGTGCTCTCGTGTCTGTGTGCCTAGGTCTGTCTGCCCCTGTGGCTCAGCCTTCTTGGATCCCTATTCTCTCGCTGCCGCCCTCCCCCCCGCCCCCCCACACACCTAAGGGTAGGTACTCACTTTCCCTTTGCAAGCATGGTAAACTCTCCTCTTTACAGATGCTAGCCCATGTACAACTGCTCTGGAAGTGGGTTGGGGAGTGG